TGCAGTGGGAGGAACGAGGTTCGGGGAGATAGGGGGGGATGGGAGGTTCGGGGAAATGGGGGGGAAGAGGGAAAGATGGGGGGATAGGAGGCTCGGGGAGATTGATTGATTGATTGATTGATTTGTTGTTGTTGTTGATCTTTTGTAGTATAATAGGAATCTCGGGCGGGCGCAGTGCTACCAGGAGTGCTGCACCCCGCCTGACGTTATGTGCTCATGGAGATGGCATGCGGCGGTGATGGCGACCTTTTTTTGAAAGTCCCGGCGCTTAGCGCACGCGCAGGAGACCGCAGGCGCTTGACCACACCATCTCACAAGTTGATGTGGCATATGGTCCGACTCCCGGTGGCAATTAGTTTCTGGGAGTTTCGCGTTTTGCTCCATTGCCGCTGCGTTGCTGCACGTGGCTTTTGGCCTGAGAGGCGTTGGCTTTGTCGATGTCTGTGGAGTACAGTGGAGTTAGCCTTAGGTACCCTGAAGTGTGAGTGATTACAGTAACGGCCTGCCATTGGGGTGCTGCTCGCCATCATCCTTGCCACCACCATCACTATTAGGTCTCGATTTGACATCACCCCACTGTTTCCTATCAGGAGCACTGCTTGACAATAGGGTGCTGTTCGTCTTCAGGGGCACAACTTGGACGTGTTATCAAGTACAATCAACACTGTTATCGACATGACAATGAGGCTATCAGGGGCGCAGTTTCGTCATCAAGCTGATGTTCGTTATCATCATCATCAAGTTACCGTCATCAAAACAAGGCTATCTAGGGCGCTGTTCGTTATCAAATTGAAGCCCGTCATCATCATCATCAAGGTTTGTTAGCATCATCATGACGTTAGTCGCACCATTAGGATATTATCTGTTATCATCACTTGAGGAAACCGTGTGATTAGTCGTTTTTCATCACCATTAGGTCACTATCAAAGCACATGTCGTTATTTTCAGGAGGTTGTAGTTGTGCTTGTCATCTAAGTATTGGTAATTCCTCGTCGTTCTAATCTGCATCACGATCTGTTCCAGCCTTATCATCGCAGTGTTGCTCGTCATTATCACCATCTGTAGCATCACCATCATCATCATTATCATTCTCATCACCATCATCCTCATAAAAACATTTTCCTTATTAGTGGGATGTCACTGATGCTATCTGCAGGCGAGCCTTCTCGCCAATATCATCCTTAAAATCTCCAGTCTTAGGGTACTCTTCTCGGTCACCCATCCAATCACAAGTCATCAATACCATCATCGTCATTACCACCATCTGTGGCAGTATCATCGATATCATTATCATCATCATACTATCCTTCTTACAAAAATCATCATTAATCCAATATCTCATTAGGGGGTCATTTCCGATATCATTTGTAGGTGAGCTTGCTCGCCAATACTCTCCTGATAATCCTTTGTTTTAGGGTACTGTTCTCGTCAACAATTAGTATTTTCTTTTCTGACACTTTCATCATGATTTCCTTTTTTCATGTTCACTCTCTTGAGTGTTTCCATCCTCGGATTTCTTTTACAAAATTTTTACTCAACTATACACTGTCCCATGACATTTTTTTCCAAGTTAATTAGCCGCTTCATCCGATGGGTGTGCTTCTTAATTGGCCGCTTCATCTGATGGGTGTGCTTCAGTCGGGATAGGGCTTCTGTGGTCACGGTTCGGATTTTTGGGGTAAGGGTGGGGGTTGGTATTGGGGAGCCAAACTTTACAAGGTTGCTGCAAGGTGGGAGGTGGCTGCCCTGTCGGGCGTGGGGCAGATTTGTGGTTTGTCCTTGTCTGGGGTCGGGGTGGGAGAGTTGGTCGCCTTCAACCCGGCGGGGGCAGATAGGGACAAGGGGAGGGCGAAGGTATCCTCTAGGAGGGAATTGGACGCCTTTGCGGATGGGGGGGAAAGAGGGGGTCTGTTCCAGGTTGGGGCCGAGGTGGTTTTCCTCGACGGGGCAGCATGGAACAGGGGTTGCGGGCAGGGGGAAGTTTCTCTGCACGGTGACTTTTGGAAGCTTCTTGGACAAATTACGGTATATTAAGCCAACATCCGGTCTTCTTCTTTATTAGGATATTCGATTTCAGAGATGGTTGTACCTGGACTGACATCGGCAGCGTTGCTCTGTTTTGTGCCCTCAGTTTGCCGATGCCAGAACGACGCTGGCCGGAGCTGGGGTGTTACCCTGTAACCTGCAACGGCAGGAGTGTGAGGCCTTGTAGAGAGATCTGGGGTTTGCCGAGGGAGGAAGGTAAGCCAGTGGCGAATTGTGGGGGGCCGCCTTGACACCCTATGGGGTTGGGGATAGTCTTGGTGGTGAGAAGAGGTCAGCTATGGATGATGTTGGTCTGGTCAATACTGTCTTTGAGTAGTAATGTCCCAGTATAGGGAGGGCTAGGAGTTACTCTATGTTTAGGAAGCTGGAATGGCTGATATAGCATAGTATTCAATTCTTTAGTTCTTCATCAAAAAAAGATTCCTAGTCGAAGCCCATAGTATTCATTTTTTAGTTCTTCATCAAAAAAAGATTCTTAGTCTAAGGTGGGTAATGGCCCCGGCAACTCATATGTTGTGTAATAATTCATGTGGGACGCTGGACCCGGTTTCCAGCACGGGTTGCTCCCCACGAATAGATTGGAGCAAATTGTCCCAAAAAAAAAAAAGAAAAAAAAAGATATTTTGTAGTATACTGTTGTCGTGCTCCAATCTTTTGAACTTTCGGGGGGGAGGGGGGAGGCACGCAGTGTGAGGAACGAGGTTCGGGGAGACGGGTCTCTCTCTCTCTCTCTCTCTCTCTCTCTCTCTCTGGAAGACGCGCAGTGTGAGGAACGAGGTTCGGTACGAGGTTCGGGGCACAAGCGGTTATCGGGTAGCTGGAAATTCAGGAATGAAAATTTTGAAGTGAAAGTTTTTGGCAGTCTGAAAATCCTGAATGGTCCTGAAGTGGTGAAAGGTCCGAAGACCCTGAAAACCACCTATCTAGGCAGGCTGCATCCTGAAGTGGTGAAGGGTGTCCTGAAGTGGTCAAGTGAGAGTTTTGGGCAGTCTGAAAATCCTGAATGGTCTTGAAGTGGTGAAAGGTCCGAAGACCATCAAAACCACCCTTCACCACTTGAGGATGCAGCCTGCCTAAACAGGTGGTTTTCAGGGTCTTCGGACCTTTCACCACTTCAGGACCATTCAGGATTT